GTGTCTTGTTCTTTTTACTTGGTTTTGGGTCTCTTCCTATGAATCTATTTTTAACACTTACATAGGGGAAAAATGCAACATTCTGCCAATAGAAACCAGAAAATGGTTATTTGCTCATTTCTTCTGGCTGACACACCTTGTCTGCGAATGGCAGCTTCTCCCTCAGGAGGAAATCTCTTCCATCAAATAAGCCTTTACGCCTTCCAAAAGTCCATGCCAAACTGCGAAAATCACCATCTTAGCTTACCAGAGTGGTGAGGCTTTGGCAGTTGGGCCAATGCACATTCAGTGGGAGACCGAGGACAGACGTTAACTAACCATCCACATTTTCAGTTTGTTTCCTTGTAATCCTTATCCCAAATATACACGTGAGAGAGCCTCGCCTAACTGGGACGGCTTATATTCCATATCACAGTTAACCCTAACGCACGTAACCAGTAAGACAGCTAAGACCTCCTGCTCAGGAAGAAGTCTGTGCCTTCCGTAGTCAATAGGGTCGGGCAGACAGCTGTCGAGGCCACTCGTTTTTTCAGAATGCTTCTCCCTCCCTTATCCCTGAGGCCTTCCTTACTTCCATCTTCTCTCCATGCCTTTCCCGGGAGAATGGGCTACTGCTCTCTATTCATCAAATCTGGGATGAAACCTTTCTAGTCTACCACCTCCGATTCTTTATCCTTTGACAAAATCTGAGACAAAACTTTCTGTTAAAACAAAACAAATCTCTTGAATATGTGCAATTTCACAGGGATTTTCTAGAGCCAAAAACTTGGGACACAGAACTAGGGAGAACTGAGTGCTTCAATTTTACGTTTGTATGATCATTGTATGAAGATTCCTATCTTCCCTACACCTTTCTTTAAAATCTGGTAGAGTTCCATTTCTTGTTCTGTGTCTCAAAAGAATACTTTTTGGACGAGCCAATACATTTAATGCGTTGGGAACATTTTCAAAAAGTTTAGTGCTCTTTTAACATATCTTTAATTTTTAAAGTGTATATTTAGTGTCTGTCTACCCCACTCCCCATCTCCTTGAAGAGAATTATTTTGCAAGATACTGCATAGTAGGCAACTTGAGAAGCATAGTGAACTTTGATTACCCAATGTTTACCTGGATCTTCTGAAATAAATACTGAAAAAGTACAATATGTCTTGCTGCAAAACTGTGTTGAAATATATACAGAAAGAAAGATAGCGTCTAATACACATTTTTACAGTATCCAATGATTGTGAAAAAAACTGTGGAAAGTGGGAGTAACAATCAAACAACTGTTCAAACAAATTAATAACTTCCTCTTGAAATGTCTTTAGCACCTTGAGCTGTGTGGACTCCTTGATAATCTCCAGGAAATACTTTGTATTTCAGTAGTACACAGTTGTTTCAAATATAGTAGAGTGTAAGAATTATTATAGTCTAGGGAAAATAGTATTTGGGGAGATAAAAAGCAACTATTGTCAAAGTAGTACAAACCCTACAGCTCTTCTACAGAGATGACAATACTATAAAGTATTTGAGATCAACCACAGTGCAATGGTGGTAAGCGGCATTCAATTTTCAGTCTGTTATCTTAAAAAGTTTTAAAAGTCACCTAAACTCTAGAGCCCACAAAGACATACTGAAGCATACCAGGGCTACCCTAACTAGGACTTTTATCTATCTGTTGCTTACTCAGTCAACGTCCTCACCTGGCACAGATTGGATATGCAGTTATTACGCCATTTAAAGCAGGCGAGCTACTTTATTTGCCATTCCAGCTGTCAAAATTAAGATTCATGGTTTCCAGCAGTCCCCCCAAATAAAGCTATGTTATTATAAACCATCTACCCATGCTCTTCACTCAGATCAAGTTTTCACACAGCTGAAGAGATGGTCAGAATGTTGGCATGTTTTGTTATTTACTGAACTTGCCTAGTTTCTTATTAATGGATGTGGTGTGGGCACTGGGCAACCCACCTCACTCCTTATTCTAAAGACAAAAAAAGAAAAATAGCCAATAAATCTTATTTTATATAAAATAGAATAAAAATAAAGCTTAGGAATTAGTTGAAATATCTGTTGATTATATAACTCTTGCCTACTCATCATACATTGTTCAAGGTACAATAAGGCAATCACCCTAAGGCATAAGGGTGCATATACTTCATACTGTCTCTTTTATCAGTCAATAGAAACAAACCCCTTATCAATAATTCGCAGTCTGCCAGATCTTGAAAATAATATCCCCTTTCCCCGAGGATGTAAAAATATAGTTAAAAAAGCTCATGCCTTTGTATTGTGAGCTCTATAAGCAAACAACCAAACCAAAACCCCTGGGCAATTAGCTGGACAATTTTTCCTCAGTGGCCGTTGTTGATACAGTTGTGACGGAAGCCTTCATAACACAACTAAGAACGTGTCCTCAAAGGCAAAACCTGGCAGTTTCCAAAGTTGGTAAGACCGATGCTGAGCCTGGAGCATGGGGGAGGGGCGGGAGAGGTGGTGACGGTAGCTTTGCAAATGCTGGTTAACCGAAGTGTGTTTTATTTCATGCCTCAGAAACTCGGGTCCGTCCACTTCTGCCTTTCTCATACTAGTTCTCTGTGACTGCAAATCACATTGTAGATCCAGCGGGCGCAGGGCTCTAGCGACTCCCCAGTCTAAAGAATGCACACCCATCCTGGTGTTTCGCCTGCAGACCAGCAACTGGACTACGCTCGTCCAGGCCTGCTACTGGAGCAAGACCCAGCTCTGCTGGGTGGAAAGATGCCTGTGCGCCCCCTTCAGTCCCCAGCAAATGCAGTAGTCCCAAGCCTCACTCCAGACCCCAGTGGCCAAACTCTCCATTCTGGAGAACCACTTACCATTCGGGACAGAACCTCCCCGAATGTTAAATAAGGCACGCAGGGGAGAAGCCCCCAGCCCCAGGGTAGGGTCCGTTTCTTCCAGGGTCCAGCCCCCAGCTCTGCGCCCCAGATTTCTGAACACACAGCATACCAGAGAGGGCCAGCCTGACCGTTTGCACAATCCTTTCTCGTTGGCTCCGCCGTGGTGGGTGCACGCCGCTAGGTCTGCAGCCACGTCCAGGGGCCCGCTCCCCGCGCTCTGCCTAACAAAGCAGCTACCGCCGAGGGACCGCGGGGACCCCCCTCCCCCCGCTTCACCAGCAAGCCTTGCAAGATGAGCCTAACGACTGCCTACCACGGCACCCTGGTGGGGGAAAGCCCCCAAGTGACAAGCAAACTTTCTCTGCATGGCGCCAAGGTGGGGTAAACTGTCCAAAGAAAGGAGGATGGGGTTGGGGAGAGGTAAGGGCGCAGTGCCCTGGTTTGGCTCCAGATGGATGGACCCTATGGGCCCTTCCCCCCAACCCCCTGCCAGCTGCCAGGGAATGAAGTCATCCCCTCATCCCTTAAATCTCTGCCAGCCTCGTTTTTTCTGCCCTTCCACAACAGGTTTGATCCCCGTGTGAGTGGGGCCACGAATAAGTGAGGGATGGGGTCAGAAAAGTTTGTAAGAGAGGGAGGAATCATCCATGGCAGCAAAGCATCCCCAGTCCCGACCCTGTTAAGATGAAACAAAATTCCCATCTGGAACTGTTTTCAGCGGTTCCTGCTCTGATCTGGCAAAGGGGAGGGAGGGGGCTCTGCGAGAGGACCCTCCACCGCTAGAAACTGCATTTAGAAGTTGTTCGGCCTCCCCGCTCCCCACCCCCTCATCCTCTTCTAAAGCCCTCCCACCCCCAGCTCGCCTACCACCCCACACCCTTCGCTCCCTTTAATTCATACGTTTCCATCAGCCTAGGGGCCACCTCCCGCGCGCCTACCTCGGGTCTCAGGGCCGCGCCCCCGCCGCTCTCTAACTCCCAGTCCTGTGGGCTCAGTGGGCTGTGGCCACAAGCAGGTACCGGCGCTATATACCCAGACGCGCCGCTCTGCTCCGTGACTCAGTGAGTCTCTGAAACGCTTCTGTCTGTGGTGCTTCAAAATAAGAGTCCTCAAAGGAGGCGTGGCGCGAGCCGCACCGAGCGGCCCCCAGGTTAGCCAAGGCTTCCCGCCCCCTCCTTCGTGCGGTGCTCCGCCCTTTGCATCTTTCTATTGACCCTTCCTGGGGCAGCAAGTGATGAGTCGGGCTTTCTCGGAACTTTTAAGAAAGAATTGATAGTGGGAAAGAATTTAACTTTTTATTTCTAGGCCTGTGGAGATGTTGGCTGCGGGGCAGGATGATTTCCCCCGTTTTTGATTGTTTTTCCTTTATAGACTAAAAAGAAACGTTCAATGACTCCGACTCCAGGGCAACATTCTTGGGGCCTGGAATGGAAGCCTGCTGTGGAATGGTAGCAGCCCTGAAGGCCTGAAACTGCGGGGCTGAGGCTTGGGGTGGGGGAGGGTCCAGTTCCTGCGGTCTGCTTACATGTAACTGGGGTGCTGCGGATTTGCAGGTACATGTAGAATGTGCAGCATTTAAATAAGAAAGTGCAGCTAACCCTGCGGTACACTCCTTTTTTTAAAGTAAGAGGATGATTTCTAGATTTCCATTAATTAGCTTACTCTGTTCTGCCTATCAATGCGTAACTAAATTTAGGAGCCCTTAGGGTAAGAAGTGTAACTCATTCTGATTTAGCAACATTTTAGGAACGTGGTCCCTATCTTGTCTTTTTCTTTGGCCATAAACTATAAGAGGCTCTGAGTCACTTGTTTTAACCTACTACCTGGGGATGTCCGTAGAGTGTTTTAGAGTAGGAAATGGACGTTCTGATTCCTGCATTAATTTCCCATGAAAATTTGTGATTTATTGTGGGCCTAACCCTAAGGCCAGACCAGCAATTTTTCCTTGCACCAACTCAGCTAAGGACACCTTCCCTCTGTGCGTAATCCTTGAGTCCATAATCCTGTGGTTAGTGTCGGTTATTTCCGTCCTGTTACTACTGGAATGTATGCTCCTTGACCACTGAGACCAAATTTCTTTTACACACAATAAACTGTCAATAAAATCAATGAATGAATGTTACCTAACATTTACAGAACATCTGTTGTGCCAAGGCCCTTTCAAGTAAATGCCAATAATGCCAACTAGATTTGAATAGCCAGTGGACCACATGTTTAAATTATCTAGTAATTTTATCCCTACCTTCATTAATACTGAACAATAGGGTTTCTAGGTTCACAGCCCTGAACCAGATACTCTCTCTCTGAAATACCTTTATTTGTAAATTTAAAATGATGTCTATAAAATATTCAAATAAACCCAAAGTGGATGTTTCCCTGTAACTCTACCAGAGATAAACATTGTTAACAGCCTACAGTCTTTGCTTCCAGACTTTTGCGTGTGTATTTAAACACATAATAAAACAGAGATTAGATCATCATTTACATATGATTCTCTAACCCACTTTTTTTTAAACCTATAATACACTGTAGTCATCTTTCTAGGCGTAACACAAGGCACTACCCTCTTTTCAATTTTTGAGAGGACAAGCAGGTAAAAAACTCAGTATTTCACTGTTAAACTTTGCCTTTGACTTTTTAGTTTGCTCATCCCCATGTCAAATGGCCATTAGGGCGACAGCAATGACATCACTTGGCGTATCACAGGATTTTCTTGCAGGCTGCAGTGTGAAGTGAAGACAGAATTCTAAAATGAGAGTTAGAATTTAGGAATCTGTGCCCTTAACTGTAGAACTCTAGAGTTTTCTTATTTCCACACTAATGGGATTAATTTGATGAATTTTAACTTTTGGTTCTTAAATTTTGTAATTTTATGATTTCGGAGTCCATTCTCAACATGAACACAGAAGGAATAAATTAGATAAGCATGGGTTCCTACCACCGTACATGTTTACCCACCGTGGGAGGGATCGTAGGGTGGAACAGATGGGTTGATTATCTGCAAGAAAACATCCAGCACCAAAGAAGGCATGACCCCTTAGATCTGCCATCCCTACCTTATTCCGTCTATAGGAGCCCAGTAAGCAGCATTTGTGTGGATCAGTTTTCCTTTCTCCGAGCTCAAATCCAGGAGGATTTAAGGAACTGGTACAAAACACTGAACATGCTAATGCTTTCAACTTTTAAACTTTTTATGCATGAAGTGTGGGAGGCGTGGATACATTTTAGCTATCACTTTGGCAAATTCCAGAATTGTGAAAACTATTATCAGTAGAAGCACTGATAGGAATTTCTGCCAAGCCTGAAAAGAACACTTCATCCTCTCATACTCACTGAGGATTCTGATCAACAGTCTTCTCTTTAGATTGTTTTTTTTTTCCCTTCATTCTCCCTTAGCTGAAACTTAAGAGTCCTATGGTTTTAAGGGAAGACGAAAGGGGTAGAGAACAAACATGCAATCGACTTTTACTTGACCAGGGGCTGCACTCTTGGGATTCCCTCTGGCCTCCCTGGGAGTGTTTGGCATTTAGGACTTAAAAGTGTTTTGTTTTAGGACTCTCGACTCTAGCTTCACTTCTGGCACACTTTGGCTCACAGACCTCTGGCTTCCAACATACAAATTTAATTAGAGATGAAATAGTTTGCTCAAGAGTCTGGTTGTTTGGGAAGACACGTGGAATGGGTGAAGGTAATCCTTCAAGCCATTCCTTTACATGTTTTTCATCTTCTCTCAAGTGAAAAAGGTGAGACATAGGTGGTTAAAAACTAAAAAGAACAACAAAAGACAACTAAAAACAAATGGTGTTCACTGAGCAAACAAGATCTTGGCAGTGCAGCCAAATCATAGATTATATAGAGATCTACAGATATAACTGCTGACAGGTACTACACAGCACTTATCTCAGATATGCTCAGCAGAGGGAACAATACTTTATAAATGGATAGTATTAGCAAAGCAATATCCTCTCACCAAATGTCCATTCAAAACACTACCACCACAACTCTACATGGTTCAGTCATGCTTCTCTAACCTATAAATTAAGGCCGAATTCTGTATTTTCATTCCTTTCATTTACATGTAGTAGTAAAAGAATGTTAGTAAATCTTCAGGCATTCTGCTTAAAATAATATTTTAATGAGAATTACCAAAAACTTGAGATTTTCTTAACTCTTGGCTTTGGGGTTGGCACATTTTCTATAAGGTGTCTTTTGTTACACATTCTCCTGGAGTGATCAATAGTGTGTACAATATGTTCTGATATCAATTCAGCATAAGGGAATATTTCCATTCATTTCCGGTGCTCTGATATGATTTTTAAAAATTTGTTGATGTAGCTCTTGCTATATTTTTAAAAGGTAAAAATCTTGGTTGAATGGACCATTTCTTTTCTTATAGATACTACTTTTGCAAGGGTTCCCAACTCCATTCAGCCAGCTCTAAGAACGAGACTAGGAAAATAGTAGAGCAATTATAGATTTTATCTGATATTGGTTCCAATTAATATTATTGGAAAAATGTTTCTGGGAGAATGCTTAAGATCAATTTTTTATTCTATTCATTTTAAAAATGAGCCCTTTAAAAAAATCTTGGACCACTTTGAATGTGGACCCTTTCTGATTAACTGTAGCATTTTCTAGGACACGCATTTGTCTCCATATTAACAACTACCAAATTATTTTAACAAAAGGAAGAAATCTTTAAAAATGAAAATGTGTGTCTTCGCAAGAGGCTAAACACTGTGCATTATGTGATCATGAATACAGACTATTAGGGGAGGAGGTACAGGGCAAATCTCCAAGGACAATTCATAGTTTCAACATAAAAACAAATTAATGTATTCCACTGGCCAAGATAACTTTCTGGCTTTTTGGTTTGTACATAACTTTTTATTAAGAGCAGGGAGAAAGGATAAGGGGGGAAGAAATGGGACTGTTTGTACTTGTGTTAAATGTGACTAGAACCCAATGGACATAAAATAGTACATGAGAGGGAACATGACAACCAGAAGGTCTGCGGTTGTGGAATGTAAAAAAAGATCACAAACCTGCAAACAACAGAACAGATAGCATTTGTGAGAGCAAAGTAAGCCTTGAGCCTCCGTGCAACTCCAGAGGAATCACGGAATCGGAGCTATCAGGGGCCTTCGGAGATCAGCTAGTAGCCGGGTATCCTTACAAGGGCATGGGCTTTGGAGCCACACAGACTGGGGTCAATCAAAGGCTGTCGCCATGATCTTAAACTCCTAGAGCTTCTGTTTTCTCATCTGTAAAATGGAGGTCAAGGAATTTACCTGGGATTACTGTTGAGAAGATGAAGGGAGAGGCTGCCTGTGTAGTGCCTCATGTGGTGTTGGATATGGAGAAGGTGGAGGCTGGTTTTCCTCCCCTTTTAATGTGTACATTTATAACCTTATAGTATCTCAGGAATGTATTTTACACAATACAGTATTTAGTTAGGAACAGAGTAAAAAATAGTAATCTGTACTTTACTTTGTGATGATATTATGCCAATTACTTCACATGCATTCTCATATTTTATCTTCCTCAACGACCCATGCGGAAGTATGGTTGTTACTGCCATGCCCCCCTTCATGGAGGAGGAAGATGGCACAGAGAGGTTAGGCAACTTATCCAAGGACACAGAGAGGGTAAGTGGAGGAACAATGACATAAATTGTTAACTCCAGGACCCAAAGTCCAGAAAATATAAATTTGGACTTAAAAGTATATATTTATTATGCTAAGTCCATTAACAGTCTCAGGACACTAAGATATCCATCAATAAATCAGTAATTTATTATTGCAAGTTTTATTCTACACAGTGTTTGTTTGACCTGAAATAGTTAAGGCAGTTTCTGAACATGTCCTGCTTCATCCACAGAAGAATCTGACTCATTATTGAGTATCCTTTTCCAAATCAAATGAGTTATGCTGGCTCTGATGGAATCATCCACAGATTCCATGCGGATTACTGAAAAGGCATAGTTAAAAGGAGGAATTTGCCTTTTATGCAACTCTCCTGAGTAAATGGGGAAATACTGTTATCAGTTGACTGGTTAGTTTAACTTCATCCTGCCTAAGAAAAACCTTAAGCTGTGTCTTGCAAATACAGTGACTGATAATAGATAAATATGACATCATCAGTTTAGGATTACACATTTTCAATATTTTAGATTAATCGCAATGGCAATTCATGAGGTTATGGGTGAGGTGACAGAACTTTGTCAGTGGATTCTCTTAATACTACTGCCTCTGATGACACCAGAATAAAGAATTCTGTGTTGCACTTCATATAGACGGCTCTGGACGCTTCCAAAACACACAGACCAGCCATCATTCCATTGTCGCGCCCAGAAATACAGGAAGTGAAACTACCTCACCTCGGTACTGGAGCTGCCATGGGTTTGCAGTGCCTTTCTCAGAATGAGGATTTAAATGCAGAGGAAACAGTGAACTCCCAACAGGATACAGACAGGAGACCGCGTTTACAAGGAGGAGGAATTTGGGCCTATTTTCCCTAACTCTGAAATCTTCCCTCTACCAAATCCTTTATATCCTAAACTCAAGCATCCATTCCCTTGAAGTAATAAACTAATCCCCTGGTTCAAATTAATAGGATTATGTTCTCTAAATTACTTAATTTCTCTCATTAGGGAAATACACAGGGATTTGCTTGGGTGCAGTGATGAAAAGTTTGCTAGCAGAGATATCCACCTACTAAGAGAACTGTGGAGATTATTTCACAGTATATGTCTTTGACACAATCAAATGTGCAAACTGAGACTAATATGGAAAGGGAATGAGACAATATTCTAATTAAATTTTCTTTTAAAACAGAAACTTAATAGATGCACAATAGATTTCATAATGGAAAATTCCCTGAATGTAGATCCTAAAACTCGTAAGAGGAAATATTTGGTAACAGTAATTAAAAGAATTAATTTATCTGACATACAGCTTATATGATTGACAGTTAAAACAACTGACTTAGCAATATTGATACTGCCTGTGATGGGCGCATTAAATAAGTTATACTATGTCACCACTGACACAATGAAGTACTAGATTTCAAGAGATAAAAATCAAGATTTTTATGCATGAGTTCATTAGACGTGAATAAGAGTCCTATTGTCCCAAAGAACTGAGATCATTATTCTTATATCAGCATATCATATTTGTCTATTTGTTTTAGTAACCTAAGACAAAGTTAAATGATTCGGAGGCAATTTGGCCCCTTGATTGGGATGAAAATCAAGGGCCTTTTCGAGTTAAACTTTGGTTCAATCTGCTATATTCAGAGAAGCCAGTGGCCTATAAATGTTTTCAAATGGCCACATCTTTTATTATATGTAATGAATTTTAATGAAACATGGCACGTGAATAAAGTTCAAAGAGAAAAGACTGAACTGAGGGAAATCAGAGCTTTGAGCCCCAGTTTAAAAAGAGTAATTTCTGTGCAAAGCGGACAAAGTTAAGATTCAGAAAGTAAAGTTTTTAATTCAAGAAAGACAGTAATCATAACGACTAAATTCAGGCTTACTTCCTGAAAACCAAACCCTCTGCAAATCGTTATCTCAATTTTTAAAAAGCTTCATTAGAGATTAATTTATTAGCAACAGGTATATACACGTTTTAGCGCCACGGTTGCATTTAGTTCATTAGCTTATAGGTGGTAACATTATTCTGTCTTCACTTGTGGGTGGCACAAGGAGAAGCCTGACATAACTTTGGTGTCATTGTTCCCTTGTTTGTTTGCCCAGTGTATGACACTTAACGAAACCTTGTGTCCCAGCAATGGATAAACTGGTCTGACAAAAATTATCCTCTCAAGTTGACTCCATTTTGGAGAACAAAGGCACAGTCTTTTGGCATCACAGAGGACTTAATTTTGGATTCAGTTACCTGCCCCAGAGTCATCACAATATGGCCAAAAGACCCTGCATGAACAGCCCTAGCATCCTGGGGCGGGGGGGGGGGGGGGGGGGGAGGAAGGGCGGGAAGGGCCCACACCCCACCAGCTTTTGGAGGCCATGTGGTGTTACTTAAGGAGAAGGGAATTGCTGATCCTTGAACCACCTGTTGCTCGAGAGAAGCATCAAGAAAAACAGAGGAAGTTAAAAGGGACTAGCAATGTTCTTTATTACAATGAGGGTAAAAATAGATGAGGCCATTTGTGATTTATGCAGCGCCTGTGTCCATAATCTTAGGAGGGGCCGACTTGTCCAGTAGGCACTGTAGGTACAGTGGCTAGTGCCCACAATACTTCTGGCAGCCCAGAAAAAAACTTTTTTATTTTAAACATTTTTATACTCAGAAGGAAAAAATGAATGTAAATATTATAATGATGACTGTATAATAATGAATCTAACCTGGATTATATGCATCTCTATACCAACGCAGTTATAAAATATAATTCTAACTTTTTTTTTTAATGGAGAAAGGGACACACAAAGACAAAAATGCCTAGGGCCCATGAAAGTCATAATGTAGCTCTAATCTTAAGTAGCTGATGTTTGTCTGAACCCTTGACACTTTCCTTTCATGAGCTATGAAGACAAACTCTACCACTTAGTCTCTATTCACGGTGTCTTCTGTGTGAACCTACATCAGTAGGTGTCACCAGGTTTTAAAAGAAGAAAACACACTCTCACATTCTCAAGCTCTTTTAATCTAAGCGAGGAGACAAAATCAGCTGTTAACAACAGGTGCTTGCAGTTGTTCATTCACTTGGACATTTATTTTACGAGTTAATTACTCATAACTCCCCTGTGAACAAACTGCACATCTGGGAAAATAAAACTGCCCACTGAACGTGAATTACTGGAGCGTAGGTGAAGCACAATAGTTAATTCATTTGGATACCCTTAAAAGGCTTAACAAAAATCCCTCAAGCACTTAGAAGTTGGACTGGTGTCTGAAGAATGAGTTAGCACCAGGTTGATCATGATGCTAACTCAGGATCACGGCAGGACGTGATTCCAAGTTAGCAAGTAGCTCCTAAAACTTCCCTGGGTTACCCACGCCCCCATTTTTACAGCCACTTTGCCCAGAGCTTCTGTTAATCTGGTGTCACTCAGCTTTCCTCTGCAAAATGTTCTACTTTTCATTTCTTAAGGTCCTAAGGAGTTCTTTTACAATTTCAACTTGTTCATGGTGAGAAAAGAGTTCTTTTGCTACCAAAAAAGCTCTGCTATTTGGTAAAACAATGGCTAAACTCAGTTCATTGTTATCATGTATCTACTCAGACTTACTTTTTGAAAACGGATATTTTTTCCCCAGCTTCACTGACCTATGATTGATAAACAAATAATTGTATATATTTAAGGTATACAACATGGTGATTTAAAAAAAATTAAATTTGAGTTGTATAGTTGATACAATGTTACATTAGTTTCAGGTGTACAACATAGTGATTCAATTTCTCTATATGGTATGCTATGCTCGCTCCAAGTGTAGCTCCCATGTGTTATCATACAATGCTATTACAATATCACTGATTGTATTCCCTATGTTATGCCTTTTATTCCTGTGACTTATTCATTTCATAACAGGAAGCCTGTATCTCCCACTCCCCTTCACCCATTTTGCCCATCCCCCACCCCTTCCCCTCTGGCAACCATCAGTTTGTTCTCTGTATTTATGAGCCTATTTCTGGTTTTATTTGTTTTGTTTTTTAGATTCCACAAATAAGCGAAATCATATGGTATTTTCCTTTGTCTGACTTAGTTCACTTAGCATAATACTCTCTAGGTCCATCCATGTTGTCACAAATGGCAGGCACAATCTCATCTTTTTTTTTTTACGGCACAATATTCCATCGTGTGTGTGTGTGTGTGTGTGTGTGTGTACATTCATCCTCCCTATCCAGTCCT